CGGTCACAAGCTGGCAGAGGGTAGGTTTAGGTTAGATATCAGGAGGCGCTACTTCACGGTCAGGGCGGCTAGGGTCTGGAACCAACTTCCAAGAGAAGTGGTGCAGTCTCCTACCCTGGGGGTTTTTAAGAGGAGGTTAGATGAACACCTTGCTGGGGTCATTTGACCCTAGTACTCTTTCCTGCCATGGCAGGGGGTTGGACTCGATGATCTGCTCAGGTCCCTTCCGACCCTAGAAACTATGAAACTATGGAATAAGACCTGTGAGGCCTGGGTCTGGCTATGAGGCGTCTGGAGTCCCCGATTGGTACCCCCAAGACAAGATTAGTATCGGCAAGGAACAGTTGGTGCCAGTTTGGTGCATAATATTTTAGTTAGTGGGCTGAGGGTCTGGCTAAACAAATTGAACTAGGTCAAGTGCAGGACTATTAGGCTTCCTCTAGGACTCTGGGAGCAACCTCACAAAGTAACAAAGATTCCATCAAAGCCTGGCAGGTGAAACAACAGTGAGGTGGCGGGGAGGATACCCTGAAGAGCTGGAGTTCGGCAGGATTGGTTCAATTGGAAAGGGTGCCATGGCCACCCTCAGGGGCTGGTCCTACTACACCCACAAAGTGGAGGGATTTTTTGTTTTGTCATTAAATTCAGCACTACAGTGCCAAATGCCAAAGGCATTGCCACACTTTGAGCTCAATTGGGACAGAGGTAGCACGACTGACAGGCTTTCTTTTTTACTGACCTGAAGGGTTTTTTTGATTCATAAATGTCTCCTTCTGATCCCTTAGAGTGCCTGGAAGAGTTGGGGTGTCTAGTTGAATCCTACGGTATGAATGTCTGCCAGCCAACTCCAGGCAAAGCCCTAAAGGAGATGGCAGCTCACATTGGCGACCGGGACAACACTGTCCGCAATGCCGCACTCAACACCATCGTGACTGTTTACAATGTGCATGGAGACCAGGTGTTCAAGCTGATTGGAAATGTGAGTGACTAGAAGTCTTGGAAGAGAGGTAGCTTAGTCGGTTCTGAATTCTGCATAAGGCAACTGTTCACACTGCGTGGTGCTGATGATCAGTCTTGGCACATCTCACCTTTGACAGCAAGATCAGTGCCAAGAGTTCAGTTTGTGGTGATTGGGGCTGATGTTATGATACAAATCCTCTAAAAGTTAACTGATTAATTCTGGATTGCGGATTCTAATCTCTAGTAACCAAAGGTGACAAATTTTATAATTGAAGGAATAAGCCAGTGCTAATTGGTATTTCTTCTTGGAGTTTCCACTGTTGGTAAATAGTATCACATCATTGTAAAGCAAACTGCTGATGACTCAGCTGTGAATGAAAGTCTAAGCTCTGTCTTTGAAAAGAGGCATAAGGCTAGCTGCAATAATTCTTATCTTGCCAGTTTGTTTCTGTAAATGGGAACTCCTTTAAAGTAACCTTCCCTTCTATTCACCTTCCTTTCCATGCTAATGTAAAGCTTCTTAAAGTCCCAGCTGCTACAACTTATTCAATTAATGTTGTAATGCTTTTAGTGGACAGCAGCGGTGTTCTGTTTTGTTTATGTTTCTTGGCATCCCTTGCTATTCCATTATCTAAAGCCTCTAATATTTCTCAGCGCACCTCAGCGTTGATTTGCTTTGGATCCATGATGTTCTACTCAGTCTTGATTGCTTTACCAACAGATGTATGAAATATAGCACAGACTAAAGATTGCAAAATTCCATTTCCAACAGCCTCCAAGTCATACACAGCTACTTCAGTGGATTTGCACAACTCTTAACTAATAATTGAAGAGAACTTTATGTAGCAAGCTTTGAGCAGGCTAAACTAAATTCTAAGGGCTTTTCCATTGTCAGACAAACCTTGAGTTACAGGTAGTGCAGCCATTGCCTACCCATGCCACCCCTTTTCTGGGTGGCTACCCTTCTGTGCTGCTGGTTTGAGTGGTGTTTTGAGTTCATGTTTATTGCAGTAAGGTCTGCATTGCTTTCACTTCTGATCTGGGATTGAGACAATCTTTTTAATCGTATGGCTACCCTTTTCTAGTTCAGACCAAGGAAAGCTTGCAAGTGGGCTATAGCAGCTAATTTTATTTTGAACTAAGAAGGGCTTACAATTTTCACTTTTTTTTTTATCCCCAAATTTCTAGCAGTTCTTGAGGTTGGTTGTATGAGGATTGAGGTTTGAATCCAGTTACTCATAAAAATGGCACTTCAATCACCATCAAGTGCAGTAACAAGATTATTTGTCTTTTAGCTTTCTACCTGAGATTTGTAAAATGAATGCAGTGTTTGCAAAATTAAAGCCATCTTTTTGACAGCTTTCTGAGAAAGACATGAGCATGCTGGAGGAGAGAATAAAGAGGTCAGCCAAGAGACCAGCTGCTGCTCCAGCAAGGCAAGTAGAGGAAAAACCACAGCGTCTTCAGACCACCAGTGCCAATACTAGCATTCTGCGTAAGGGATCAGCTGAGGACATGTCCTCCAAACTCAGGTATGTATTGAGATCTTCTGTGTGGTCTCTGCAGTGTATGTGCTTAAAAACATGTGCAGCAATGTTACTTTAGTTCCCATAATCCCAGTCTTTGCATGTCGTAAAAGCAGGCCAAATATTGCAGAACAAAATGTTTGATTCTTCATTTTTTTTTTTTTGTCTTGTCTGTCTTGAATCCTTTCTAAATGGTCTTGTGCCTTCTTTCACTGCTTCTCCATGGACAGAATTATGTATCGCACTTATAGGATGTAAGTACTGCCCACTAACTCCTTGGTAGCAGGGCTCTTGTATCTTTCAACTTCTGCCCTAGTCATCCCCTCCAAAGGATGACTAGTTTACGCAGCCCAGTTCTAGGTTATTTGTAAATACCTCTGGCTTAAAAGTAAAAGAATAGAATGCCCCTGCCAATGGCAACTATGACCCAAACTGCTAGCAGACATGGCACCTCCATGTTGGGCAGCTGCTGGAGATACTGGGAGAGTTCATTCCCGTACATTTGCATTAAAGTTGATATTGATTGGGCAGATATACAACAGAGTTGTCTAAACCCTGTGAATTTTTTTGACCTTGGGACACCTATAATACTCGGTAACAATACCCTACAGCCTGTATTAACTCAGTCTTTGGGGAAAAAACCCCTCCTCCAACCCCATCCCAGTTAAAATAGTATAGTAGAATGTTCTACTTGAATAATCAAATGCCTAGTGCAAACCTTTTATGATCCTGGTAGTCCTGGATGCTGATTTTTGTTGTGTAAGGCTGCTAATTCAGTTAAACATATTAATTCAGGCATTTTCCTCTCTTAACCATGAAAGAGACCTAAGCTGCACTAGGATGGCCCATCAGTACAGTCTTAAGTGGCACTAGATGTGTCATGACAAGGTGGTGTACACTTGTCACTGCTGCATTGTGACTTATGGAAGGCTGTAGGGGAAATTGGTAGCTTTTCAGGTGAACTTTAAAAGCAAATAACTGGCAGCTGCTCTCCTGGCTTACACAAGCCTATACTGCTAACAGCTGGGGGAATCATAAGGGGTTCAGTTAAGGGACTGAATACATTTTGGATCTGCAAAATGGCTATCCTGATATGAGAGCTTTAAGACTACCATTGGATGCTAGTGTTAACACTTTTGCCTATTGTGTTAAGACCTAATAAATGCATCTCTCTTGGTTACTATAGTCAAGCCCGCAACATGAGTGGCCATTCTGAGATGATGCATGCAGTTCCACGGGAGTTCCAGCTGGATCTAGATGAGATTGAGAATGACAATGGTACAGTCCGATGTGAGATGCCAGCACTTGTACAGCATAAACTAGATGACATTTTTGAGCCAGTCCTGATTCCGGAGCCCAAGTGAGTTTAGTTATACCCCTGTGTGCCTATGTGAAGCTACCTGAAATGGTCTTTTTGGGATAGGCTTAAGAAACTGAATAAAAAGCTAGCATGAGCAAGTAAAACCTGAACTAGTTGGAAGAGTCCAACTGTGAAAGTAATGGTGCATTTGATGTTGTGGAACAAGAGTAGAAAAGGAGGTCTTTAAACTGCCGTGACAATACATTATTACTGTCTAGAAGAGCTGAGGGAGCTGCCTGTGGTTATATAGGAAGAAAAATCTGAATTTGAGTATAGCATAGACTGTCATATTTAGGTTGCACTCCTAGCTCTGTCACAGACTAGGACAAATGGCCTACCATCTCCTTTCATTATTTGTAAATGGGAATAACTTTCTCAGACATTCCTGTTTAGGATGAATTCCTGCTTTGTCAAGTGTCTGAGATGTTGCTACAAGTCACCTGTGAAATACAAGTTAGGATTCTTTCCACAGAAATTCATGAATCCCTTTCTTCCAACTGTCTAGGATCCGTGCTGTGTCCCCACACTTCGATGATATGCACAGTAACACGGCTTCCACTATCAACTTTGTCATCTCCCAGGTAGCCAGTGGTGACATCAATACTAGCATCCAGGCTCTGGCACAGGTAAGAGGAACATTTGGCTGATGTTTAATTAAGACCAGCAGTTTGCGAGAGTGATGAGCTGCACTTCAGTGGAGCTGCCATGTCAGGTGACATGGACCCCACTCAGAATCTCCCTGATGACAAAGCTATGTGCACAGGGGCCATCTGACTCGCAACTTCCAATTAGACCATCCTAGGCATGGGAACTTATCAAATCAATATTCTTGTCAGCTCTAGATCTTGAACTGTGGTGGGGGTGATTTTATGTTGTTTACATTTACATAACCTACTAAACTACTTTTTCTACCTGGAAATATGTTCAGGTTCTTGGATGTGATGCACCCTGTGTTGTGGCAGTGAGGCTGTCTTTTTAATGAAACCACCTTGCAGATTCCTACTGTAGGAATCCTGTTTCCTGCCTTGTGACCCTTTCACCATTCTAAACCAGTTCTAGCTGTTTGGGACTATAGTCCCTAGAAAAAACACACAAAGCAAATCAGTATAGAATCCATCCATCTTGCATCCTCAGTCTTGTATAGACTGCAAATTGCAGCTATAGAAGAGATCATGCACATATTACTGATTGGACTGTCACAGCTGACCTCACTACAGAATTACTAACTTTTAGGTGAAGTTTTAGGAAGTGGATTGCTCCACTAGTGGAGTAAGTGGACGGTTTCTTTGGAATAGTTTTTTATATTTAGTTTTTCTGTACCAAGATCAACTTTTAATCTGTTTTGGGTGTCTTTTTTTTTTCTAGATTGATGAAGTCCTCAGACAGGAGGACAAAGCAGAAGCCATGTCTGGCCACATTGACCAGTTCCTAATAGCTACGTTCATGCAGCTTCGACTGATATACAACACTCACATGGCAGATGAGAAGCTGGACAAGGATGAGATAGTCAAGCTTTATAGCTGCATCATTGGGAACATGATCTCGGTAAGGCTGCTCTCTGGCAGGGCAAAAACCAAGCTGTGAGCCAGTTGCTTTGCAAGAAACATGAAAGTGTTTTCCACTGACCTTGCTTTCTAGTGAATCCTGTTTTTGGGACAGTTTGTTCCTAGGTGTTCTTTAAATTTATGTGTTTAAGGTAGTATAGCAACAGCCACATGCAGGAAATTAAATTTAATACAAAGTGCATAGGAGGCCTTTGGGAAATAAGTATTCGACACCCTGGTCACAAGCCTCTCAAGTGGGCTATAGGCATCCTAAAACAAGGGGAAGTCGGGAACATGATTTCAAATAGGAATAGGGTGAAACAAACTTTAGATGGGTTGACTTGTTATTTATTGAGGTATATTCCCAGTATTGTACAGAACACAGATATTGCCTGTCAATAGTAGTGAATTCCAAACTCTGAATTCTGTGTAAGTGAATGCTGAGATTTCATTCTGCCAATGGAGGCTTGTATGTAGAAAGTTGGTCTGTACCTTGCAGTTCACTGGCTTTGTTTGCTTAAAGTTCACTTGGCTTGTGAGGGAGTGGTGGTAGGGATAGGGCAGGGAGCGGAGAGAGAGTGGAAGGATTAAAGTATGAAATGAGGGGCCAGAGGAAGAGCAAAAATTCTGGAAATGTCTTTTCCAACAGAAACTACTTGTGACATTTTAATAGCTTTAGTGCTGACATTTGACAGAAGAAGCCTTCCCAGACAGAAGTAACTTTGCATGTTTGGGAGTGGCTTGTCATTTGCCCAGGCAAAGGAGTTGAGAATAATGTTTCAAAGAGCAACATCAAAAAAGCATTATGGGGGTTGTCAAAGAAAAATTAAATTAGGGGTGTGTAGGGGTGTGGCAGGAGCTAGAGAATGCCACCTTCTAAAATGCCTTGTTACAGTGCAAGGCCACACAGAACAATGAGGAGAAAAGAAAATGCAAATCATTGAATCATTATTCATTAAATGTGCACTAAAAGAGGCAGAGACTTCAGAGGGCAAAAAGGCTTTGGTCACATAATCTGAGCGTAGCATATAATGTACATGTACAAAAGGTCGTACAGATTATCTTAATTACAGAATCGTAATTAATTCTGGCACTTCTTCACTTTTGAGCTCTTAAATTTGGCACCATAGGGCTCTTTTAAATAATTTTGTGTGCAACTTTCTAAGAATTAAACGGGGGGGAATCTGCATCATAAATCCCATGTGGTCAGTAGTAGGGTTGGAACCCTTGAATTCACTGAACAGACCTCTACTGTTTAGGTTAACAGGAAGCAAAAATAGGCTGCTATCCTTCATTTGGATCTCCACGCAAGGTGGGTGAGGTTATTGTCACATACTTGTTGACAGCAAAGGTGTTGACTTAAATCTTAGATTTCACTCTAAATTCTGGATGGAAGTGTATTTAGAGTGAATCCTTCTGCCCTATTCCTGTTTGTGTGTGTCTGTCCTCACTCAACTGGTCCCACTCTCCATTTCTTTGTTCCTTTTGCTTGGCTCGTTACCCAGCTAGCCTAGTCTGATCCTTCTGCCATATGTATTTCCAGTCTCCATGTCTAGCCTGTATCATACTTCCCATCTCTCTACCACCATATTTTCACTTGTTAGTTGTCCATTCTGAATTTGAAAGGGGCAACTTCCTTCTCTGACCTACTGGGCACCAGAAAAGTATGCCAGACAAAAGAGTCTCAGAACTTTAAGGACAGGCCCAGAATTTGCCCTGGCCTGTAGAAGCTGAGAATGGCTATCACGAGGAAGTCCTGCTCAGCACTGGGTTGGAGCATGTTCAGTGTGGCTAGAATTTCTTAGATTTTAGTAACTAAATTTTATCAGTCTCACCTGAATGTGTACAAAGAATTTTTTTCAAAGGCTTACAGTTTGGTCGAGTTCAAGCAGATAGTTACAGAGGAAGGGAAAAACCATGTTCCTGACATAGGCCATCCCCTGTGAAATGCCATATTTCAGCCAAAAAATAGCGATGGTTAGAACTTTCCAAAGAATATGTTATCAGTCATTTCTCCCTAGTCTCATTCTTGTAAAGGAGTGACCCATTTTGGCTGAAACTTAAAATCACTTCTGCCTGAAACTGACATTTGGCATAGAAAACTTCAGCTCAAGTGATAAGAGGTTGGCCACATTTTAAGGAACTGAAAATAGGTTCTGCTAGTGGGATGTTTGGGGAACTTTAATGGACAGTGCTGTTAGACCTGCACCTTTCCTAGAGTCTCTGACATACAGACATTGTTGATGTGATAGGTGTTGCATTATTTGAAAAGAAATAATATTTTAAATGCAAAGGAACAGAATTAGAATGCAGTTCTGTTCTGAGTTGACTGAAAATGGTATCATGGAAGTTAACTTACAAACCGAAATGTGTTTCCTAATTGCCATTCCCATACAACTCAGCTGGGACTGTTAGTGTCTTATCACTAGCAATAACCACTCTGTAGGTCAAACTAGTTAGTGATACCTGTGCAGCCATATTTTTTTTTCCATGGGGTTTGCATAGGCAGCTAGGTTACTTTTATTTTAACTATGCTTGATGCTAACGACTTTTTGTATTCTTTGCTTTTGAACACTTACCTATACAACCTGTTATAGTCCCCTGTTCCTGGCATATGGGCCACTAAGTGGAAGAGGTGCATTCTAAAGAGGGCAGTGGGAGTTCTGGAGGACTCCCTAAGTTAGAATGATTCATAATATTGATTTCTAAGTCTGATTTCTATTGATAGCTATTCCAAATAGAGAGCCTAGCCCGGGAGGCCTCCACAGGAGTGCTAAAGGACTTGATGCATGGGCTTATCACATTGATGCTGGATTCACGAGTTGAAGACCTTGAGGAAGGTCAGCAGGTCATACGATCAGTCAACCTCCTGGTGGTGAAAGTTCTAGAGAAGTCTGACCAGACGAATATCCTGAGGTAAAATAGTCTTTGTTGGAATTGCATGGAAACTTTTCTGTCTGTACTAAAATCATGACACTGTATATGCAATAACTACTATCGGTATCCTAGTCTTCCTTTACCGTTTGTTAAACATCATCTTATTTAAGTATCTTGCAAGACTAAGGCCTTTCTTATCTATCACAGAAATGAGCATAGCTGGCCATGCAACAGTCCAGCTGGCTAATTAAAAAGCAAATATTCCTCCTGGATGCTTATATAGTAACTAGCCAGATTCTAATTCTGACTAAATTACTGCAAATCATATTTAATGAAAGTACCACCTGCTATTGTATTCAGTATTGATTGCTTAACACAGACCTGACGTGTTCTGCAGAAGTTCAGTGCTCTGATTTTATAAAATCATAGTAAGGTATTGAAAAGAGGGGCTTAACACTACATGAAATAATTCAACTAGCCCTAACCAATAGCCTCTGATACTGTGTTTAGTAGGGTATTGTACCTGTGCTCCATGTAGCATTTACCTGACTAATACTACCTCAACTTATTTTCTCTAGTGCCCTGCTTGTTCTGCTCCAGGACAGTCTGCTAGCAACAGCCAGCTCTCCCAAATTTTCAGAGCTTGTCATGAAGGTAAACCCATAACGGAGGCTTTGAACTCGTTTGATTCTTCTTTGAAACACTAGGTTTCTGCTTGGCTTGACCAGATGGATTAAGGGAAAAAGCACTTGCTTCAGCCAGCTATCACAATGTGCATACTTGCCCTGTCTGCACTAAGGTTCTAAAACAAAACATATTAACTTGTTAGAAAGTGTTTTGTCCCAGTCCAGATGCATGTTTGTTGAGATATATGAGCACTAAGCAGGTCAATGTGGGAAGGATAACATATCTGTCCCAGTGTGTACACACCATCAATTTTCTGTTACTGATAGTGGAGTCAGCACCAGTTCTTGCCCCTCTAGGTAGTTAGCTAGACTGTAAAATAGAAACTCTGTTTTACAAAGAGACAACTGCTTAGGGTCAGGCTTTCTATTTCTTTCAGTGTCTATGGAGAATGGTACGGCTTCTGCCTGAAACGATCAATAGCATCAACCTGGACCGAATTCTGTTGGATATCCACATTTTCATGAAAGTCTTTCCCAAGGAGAAGCTGAAGCAGTGTAAGAGTGAATTTCCCATAAGGACACTGAAGACTCTGCTTCATACCCTGTGCAAGCTGAAAGGGCCCAAGGTGAGAGCCGACTCCAGCAGCATGACTTTAGAGATTGCTGAAGTATCTCAGATTGCTGAAGTTCTCTTCTTTTCCTCAGATCTTGGACCACTTAACAATGATAGACAACAAAAATGAGTCTGAGCTAGAAGCTCACCTGTGTAGGGTAATGAAACACACTATGGACCAAACTGGAAGCAAGGCTGATAAGGACACAGAAAAAGGGGCTTCCCGCATAGTAAGTGGCATGATTTTTTTTGAAAGGTGGAGGGAGAATTGGGAAATATTCTGTTCCAAGAAACTGACTGCTTGCTATTAGTTAATGAGAGAGTTGCACCTGTCCTTTGGAAATGGCCATCAGTGTCTCCCTAGATGAGACTTCCAGCCTGTCATGCTACCCTGTAGCATTTCTCCTTTTTATAACTAGTGGGTGTAAAAGACTACTCCCTTGATACAGCCTTTGCTAGCTACGGCTGCCTGTTGTCAGCTGGTAAGTCCTTGGCACTTCCAAATAATAGTTGCGTGTTAAATCAGTTGTATCTTATTTTTGAGGGATACCTTTTTAATCTCATTCAGAAGTCTCAATTTCTCCTTTAGGATGAAAAGGCTTCAAAGGCCAAAGTAAATGATATTTTAGCAGAGATATTTAAGAAGATCGGGTCCAAGGAGAACACTAAAGAGGTGAGTTTATTCTTTCCATAGGGAAAGGGGAAAGATAAATGCTTGGAGTGATGTATGCAGGAGCTTGGTAAAACACGGGAACTCTCTTTCCTTAGGGCCTGGCAGAGCTGTATGAATACAAAAAGAAGTATTCTGATGCAGACATTGAGCCCTTCCTGAAAAACTCATCTCAGTTCTTCCAAAGCTATGTTGAACGAGGCCTCCGGCTGATTGAGATGGAGCGGGAAGGCAAAGGACGCATTCCATCTTCTACAGGTACAGAGCTGCTCAGCAGCACTAGTGAATTGAGGTGGGGACTTAGAAGCTGAATCTTGCAAGAGGAGTAGCTGCAGCTCTGTCACTTAGGAGCAAGTATGTGAGACTCTTGTGTTTCCACCTTTCACAGACACCACTCGCACTTCGCCACTTGTAAGAGTTACTGCCTTTCCTACTGGAAGGCAAGAAAATAAAAGAAAAGACCTGAATAGGTTTTTGTAGACCATTGTGGCTTTGGATGGAAAAAGTAACCCCACCACTAATTTGTGGGTACCTCTCCAAAAATACTTTCAGAAACTTACCTTTTCAAATGGTGTGTAGTGCTCTGGGTACTATAGATGCTCCAGATATAAGGTGTGGCGAGCAAGTGATTCTTGTTGCACCTGGCAGTCTAGCTTGACATGTTCCTTGCATTAAGATAGTCTTCCTGTAGGAATTGCAGGTGTGCAATGAAGGCACCACAGATGCAGCTTAACACTTTTTGGGGTTGCTTAAGTAACAAGAACAGGATCTTTGCACGAAAGCCAAATTTGAAGCCTGGCACAGATTTTGCATCAACACAGCAGACAATTATAGAACACAGAATTTTAAGAGAAAATGTTGAGTGAGAAATAGCCTAGCAGACCTAATTGGTGCGTTATTTGTTGGGTAAGATGTAAGGCAGCTTTGTAAATGTCCCAGTGTGCAGTCTGGGTGCTCTGTTCAGAGCTGTCACCACAAGTTGCTTGGATAACCCAGCAAAAGGGGCTGGATCTGGCCTGTGGGCCTGGCATTGAGTACCCGTTTTGCTCAAGGAAGCTTCTCGGTAGAACAGAATTCACATTGCTGGAAGGCACAATCCAGTTCTTAAGAAAATGCAGCCTAAATTGTAGTTCCTGCTAGGGATCATAACAGCAGAACAGCTACTAATAATAAGGGTAGGGATTTAATTGGCACAGACTATCTTGCCTCTTGTGCTCCTAGAGCATCCAACTCAGCCCATTGATGTCTTCACTTTGTGCTTAAGTTTCATTTGGGGAAGCAGTGACTGGGAGCTGGAAATTTCAAGAAGCCTCTGGAAATACAGAACTCCCTTCTGTCCCCTGCACATCCCAGATGTGTGCTAAACAGCAGATACCCAAGAGGTGTGCTTAAACAGCAGCTCAGCAGCATAGCCTTCCAAACAGCATTCCATTCTGTTAAGTTTTCTGTTTCTTTCAGACCAGGGCCAAAAGGGTGCAATTCTAGCTTCACTGGGCTGGAAATGTGTAAAAACAAAACAGAAACTTGCTCCTAAACTTTCATTCTTCAGAAGAGCCCTATACTACATTGGTAAAGAGAAATCTAAGGACATCCCCTACCTCAGTCTGAGTCTTCTTAAAGCTTTCTGATTTCCTGCAGTAGAGAAAGCTTCCTTTCATTATTAGTGTGAAAGGCTTTTCCTGCTATCAGATGCATGTGGAGGATGGAGAAGGAGGGGATCTTTAAAAGAGGGAAGGCTACCAGAGTCCTTTATTGCACAAAAAGGAACTGGCAGAGAAGCAGCACTCTTCTAACTTCTGAGCAAGAACCCTGGAAGGGTTGAGAGCCTCTTCTAAGGAATTCCACTGGGTTCATCTAACTCACCTCAGCAGTGTTTAAGAGCAAAGGGTAAACACAAAAACTCCCTTGTATCCCTGCTGAGTCATCTCCAGTAGCTTTAACAGCTCTTTCCTACAATGAACCTCTTCAGTTCTTTTAGCTATTAGCCAGAATGTGTTAGTTTGTATGTAGATACTTTGTTTTTTTATGGAGAAGAGAAGCAGTCTGCCTCACTTAGTGGTCTGCCCTGTTTCACAAAATGGGCTGTAGTCCACCTTTTCCAGTTCTATCCCACTAACAGTAAATAGGAAAAAAATGGATTTCCCAGAGTGTCCGGAGAGTCAGTATAGTGTTGGGTTCTAGCTTTGTTCTGTGGCTATTTCAGTCTGCATGCTACCTTTTGGTGTCACATGACTGACCAAGAGGCTTAGATCTGTTTCTTCTTTTTCTAGGAATTTCTCCTCAGATGGAAGTAACATGTGTCCCCACTTCCACCAGCACAGTGTCTTCATCCATAGGGAACACAAATGGGGAGGAAGTGGGGCCTTCAGTCTACCTGGAAAGGCTAAAAATCCTCAGGCAGCGCTGTGGTCTTGACAATGCAAAGGTATTGTACTTCTACGGACTTGTATAAATCTACTTAGGGAACTGGTCTATGTAGTGTGATAGGACTGCTCACTTGAATGCTAGCTATGCAGCACATAGGCTTTGATGCCAATCATTGCTCTTGATTCCTACTGCATGTTCTCATCATTAGTGGTGTAGGTGCAGTTAAAATTGTTGTCTGGCTTAGTAGGCTTATGCTTCAGTTTCCTTCTGTCTGCTGCACTGATGTAGACACAGCTTGCTGCTTTTGATCTGGAGTCTGGTAGCTTGTCCAGTAACAGTTGCGGGGAGAGGCTGAATAACTGGCTTGTGATTGCTTGTGTCTAAGGAGGTGTCAGGAATACTGTGGGGTTTATATCTGCTGCATGTGCTAATTTTGCCCCCCCTTAGATCTGTGAAACTGATGCATCTCCTACCTTTTTTAAAGGTTAGGTTAATGCTGTACACCTGCCTAGGGCTTGCTGGTTTCTCAAGGTTAATGTCTGCTTTCTCATGTGATCCAGGAGTTTGGATCACTGAGTGTCTTAAACAAAGATGCTCTAAAACAAGTCAGCACTCTAAAGTGAGGGCTGTTGTGGGGGTGTATCTTGGTTGTGTAGGATTCTGAGGCGGACATTAATTCTGAATGAGTTCTGTCTATGATGCCAGAAACCTTCAGTAAATCCTGACATATACATGGATATCTTTTTAAAGCTACTTGCTGAAAAATATTACACCTGTCCCTTCAGACGTGCCAGAGACCCCTGGACTGTCCACAATGCATGTGGCAGAGGTACATGTACAGCACTATCCTGACCTTTTTAAGGTCTGAAATTGCATATCAGCCTTACAGCTCTGGAGGGCAAAGTCACACACGCTGCAGGTGTGCATTCCTCTGTTACTGATAGCAGATGAAGCCTCAGCTCATCAGGAGAACCTGACTCGATTCAGAGAGGGTCTTATCAGGCTGTCCTAAGTCTCCTCTCCCCTCAGTCTTTTTAGAATCTGAGTCCTCAGTGCCACACAGGATTTTAGCTTATCTTGGGCCTAAATAAAGCAGGACTCAAGTCTCTTCCCAACTTGATGTGAAACCGTTGATGACTACTCACTGAGCATAATGACCTAACTAGCCAAGTAACCATACAGTACTTTCATCTAGTCTGTATTTCCTTAGTTTAGCAATAAGAATGTCATAGGAGACGGTGTGAGAAACCTTGCTAAAGTTCAAGTGTTGTGCTCACTGCTCCCCACGTACCCCCCTAATCACCCATAGAGCCTGTCTCCTTGTTATGGAAGGGAATCAGATTGGTCAGGCAGATTTGCCCTTGATGAATCCACATTGGCTGTTTCTGATCACTTTGATCTCTTCTAGGTGCTTAGAAGTAGGCTTGACCCACTCCATTATTTTTCCTGGTATTGAGGTCAGATTAACTGGTTTAATTCCCCAGATCTTTCTTTACTTTCTTAAAGATGGGTCCTGTATTTTCCCTTTTCCAGTTACCTATACTCCACCTAACCTCCTCAGATTCTCCAGTGGCTCCAAAATTACCTCAGCCAATTCCTTTGGTACCCTAGGGTGCATCCTGTCTGGCCTTACTAACTTAAACATCTAACTTCTCTAAATAACCCCTAATCTGGTCTTTCACTATTCTAGACTGCTGATCTCTTCCCCTATTCTTGCTGCCAACTGGACTTATGATAGCTGATCTTATTCCTAAAAACTGAAGTAAAAAAAGCATTAGATATTTCAGCCTTCTCTGCATCATCTGTTGTTGGATGCATAAAAAAAATTAGTAAGGGCACAGATTTCCTTAGTCTTTCTCTTCTAACATACTTATAGAATCCTTTTTTCATCCCTTTTACATTCCTTGATAGTTGCAAAACCTGCTTCAGCCTTCCTGTTGTTTTTCTCCATGCATATTCATGCAATACTCTTATACTCTAACCTAATAATATTGCCAAGTTTCTACTTTCAGCTGGGTGCCTTTTTGAGTTTCAGCTCACAGTTCACTGTTTAACCAGGTTTACCTCCTGCTGCAATTCCTATTCTCAATTTGCATTGGGATAGTTTTACCCCTATGCTATTAAAGACTCCTTAGAAGTACAACCAGCCTTTTTGGGCTGCTTTTAATTCTAATGGTTGCCTCCCAAGGGATGCTGCCACCAGTTCCCTGAGCTTGTTAAAGTCTACTTTTCTGAAAAGTGACTTTACTGCTCTCCTTCCTTCCTTTCCTTAGGTTCTTGAAATCTATACTTTTATGGTCACAGTCATCAGTTACCTTTCTCCTTCATGTTCTTAACTGCTTCCTTCCTGTTTGTGAGCAGCAAGTCAAAGTTGGCCTCTTCACCGTCTACCAAAAAATTATCTATGACAATCCAAGAACGTAATGGACTACCTGTGCACTACTGCGTTGCCCTTCTAGCAGATGCTGTGGTATTTGAAGTGACCCATGAAGACCATGTCCTTTGACTTGAAAACTTCAGTTGGGTGTTTCAAAAACGGCTTGTCCACCTCTTCCTCCTGACTTTGGTCTGTAGGGCTAAGTACAGGCAGTCAAAAAGCCCAAGGCTGAATCGATTCACCCTTTTCAGGTTAGTCTAAACTGCTTGGATTGAACTGATAAGCAAGCAAACAGACATTCATTTTTGATACCAGAAATGCAGCCACATGCCTGTAGTGGCCCAGGCCAGAAGCAAGGGGTTGCTACGGCATGTCTGCCTTCTCAGATGAAGCAAACAGCATGGGCCAGAGCTATCCTACCTGCTCTGCAAGCATCTTAGGATGCTGTGAGTCTGGAGGGGACCTGGGACAGAGTTCAATAAACCAGTTGAACCTAAATCAGTTGCATCTGATCCTACATTCATCAAGCTTTATCTTAAGCTGGTTTCTGACCTGGACCTGGAGACTTTAACAGGCCAACCTTCCACTTTAGTCTGCACCTCAGAACAAACACACATCTTGTTCATGTATTAGAGCAACACCACCTCCCTTTTCCTTCCTGAACAGTTTACATCATCCATGACAGTACTCCAGAGGTGAACTGTCCCACCATCTCTCTTTTATTCCAATTGCATCATAATTCCCTGATTGTACTAGGACTTGCGTTTCTTTTTGCTTATTCCTCATGTATCTTGTGTTAATGTACAAAGTTTTTAGGTAGTTAACAGACTGCCTTAAGTTCTCCGGGAACATTAAGGCTTCCTCTATTGCTTCCTTATACTTGTTTTTTATCTAGGTCTCTTGGCTCTTTAGTCACCCCTGAACTTTAGTCTTTGTCCCCCACCCCTAGTCAGCTAAGTTTAAAACCCTCCTTACTAAGCTAGCAAGCCTGTAAACAAAAATCATGTTCCCCTTCCCATCCCCACTTCATTTGGTGGACGCCATCTATTTCCAGCAGTCCTTCGTGGAACGTCACTCCATGGTCAAAGAAGCTAAAGTTTTGCTGGCAACGCCATCTATGCAGCTATATATTGATCCCTAGGATGCACCTGCTCCTGTCTGGGCCTTTACCTTTGACTTGGAAGGATTGATGAGAACACCACCTGAGCCCTGTGGTCGCGTCTGATCTGCTCAGGGTCACCCCTGCAGTATCACTAGTTCCCAAATTGATAGACAACATGGGGTAGTAGTCAGAGGGCTGGATGAGTCTCTGCAGCCTTCCCGTAACATCTGGGATCCAGGCTTCTGGCAAGCAGCAAACCTCCTAAGTCAACAGATCAGGCCAGCAGATTGAGGCCTCTGTCCCCTGCAGAAGATAGTTGCCAGCCACCACCATCCATTGCACCTTCTTGGTTGGCAGTGGTCTTGATTGTTCTAGCTTTTGGAGTACATGGCTTGGTCTCTCACAGCAATGGAGTAGGTTCCTCTTCTGATGCTAGGATTTTGGGTCTGTTCTCTAGCTGGACACATGGAGGTTCAGAAGTGGAGAGCTGTCTGATACCAGAAGTGACGAGCAGTTTCCACCTTTCTGAGAGTCTAGGTTGTCTGTCCTCTAACACCTTCTCTAGCTCTCCCTCTTCCATGATGCTGGAGATCTCTCTGTATACTGAATCAATTAAGTCCTTTCTCTCCCAGATGCTTTTGAGGCTGTCTGCCTCCTATAGCTCACCTACCTGGGTTCTGGGGGTTCCACCTCTCACACCACAAGCATTTTCCCTCACCTGCCTGTTCTTGGCAGGGATATGCAGATTATAATCCCTGCAAAGGTAAACCAGGACCTGTGTGGAAGCCTTGGAGGTCAGTTTGCCAGAACTAGTACAGGCAAAGGAAGAGGTGGCAGTTGCTTCAGCATTGTGACATCTTCTAACCACTTCACTAATTCTTTTTCAGTCTCTTTTCTCTTCTGCTGCTACTTCCTAGAACTTCTTTCTTCGTTTATCTGCTGCTTCTCAGCAAGCTTGTGATGAAATAGTGTTTAAAAACTGGCTGTAGCAAACTCCTGTGTTTCCTGAACTATTCATTGGTTTCTGCTGCCACTAACTTGCTGGAATTCTGACTGGCTTAACCTTTCTGTGTGACTGTGGGTCTTACTGTAGGTATTGGTGTCTTTAAGTAGTAGGGACTAGTACAAATGGTTATGGGCATGCTCAGTTTTGCAGAACTTTAGCTCTAGTAAGACAGGAAATTTTAATCCAAATGAGAAACAAAGGGTCCAGTTTTCAGGTGAGTTAATAACCAAGTGTCTCTACTGTGAGTAATGTAAATCTTTTGACTAAGCCTGGTAGGTCTTGTGGAAAATGTTACTGTGCAATATTATCATCTCATATAGAAGATTCTGTTACATGTGCATGTAGTCAAAAGTGCACAATTCATTCCAGTCATCGTTAAGATGAACTGTTGACCATTTCTTTCCAAGTAGTTAATAACATACCACGATGAGTCTTTTATGCTATAACTTGTCCTGGGAATGAAAAAGTTGGAATGTAGGCGCAGTGCTTTGTCTTGGCTGGTTCCGACTTGCTATTAGTGATTGGAAAAAAAAAAACGCTTTTGCTTTTCACATCTGTTCTCTCTGAGGGCGAGGCCTTACTGCCTTTAAATAACATTTCACATTTTCCCTGCCCCATAGCAGGAAGACAGAGCACCTCTAACATCGCTGCTTTCCAAACCAGCAGTCCCTACAGTTGCGTCCTCCACAGATATGCTCCACAGTAAGCTCTCGCAACTCCGTGAATCACGGGAACAGTACCAACATTTGGACCTGGACTCCAATCAGACTCACTCCTCTGGCATTGGAACCACCACATCCTCCTCTTCCACAGCAGCCAATATTGATGACTTGAAAAAAAGACTGGAGAGAATAAAAAGCAGTCGCAAATAAAGCTCCATGAGGGACATCATGGCTGCAGCTTGAGCTGTCTTCAGCTTTAGTTTACTAAACTAGAAGTCTTCATAGTTAAAGTGGCCTCATTTAGGCCTAGTGTATACAAACTGGTTTATGTATAATACAGTGGATTTTGGGGAGGATCTGAGTCATTGTGGCACAAGTATTTGTACATACTCTGCTTCTCAGTGAACATCTCTTGACAATAGAAGACTGTCTGTGTATTAGTTTTAGTGTACAGACCTGTAAACAGCCATCCTCCTGCTCAGACTAGTTTCTCATAACTTGGGTTTTTATTTGTAAAATTGTCTTAAGATCTTTTTCCTAGCTCTTAACTCCTAGAAGCTTTTTAGTGGTTTCACTTTTAATTTTGTGAATTCTTCTCCATGTAATCCTTGAACTGTTGATTCTGTATGGACGCATGGCATGAAGTAACTAATTTAAGTGTCTTTTGTAAATAAAGTTTGCATTAACTATACCAGTCTCTGTAGGAGCAGCAGCAACTGTTGGTGAGAATAGAAGCCACTTGGTGTTGCTGGATGCTAGTGCCTGGGCATTTATGAGCTGAAACCAGCTCTTGATTTGAACCTTGGCATTGGAATGTAGCATTGGGAAACTGGACTCCTGAGAAAATATGTCCTATCTAGCCATTGGAGGGAGCCCTGAGATCTTGCATTCCTTTTTATCAGAAGTACTTTTGCTATATTAATGCACTGCTTTTTGTTTACTCAGTGTTTTTTTGTAAAGAAGTTGAAAAAGAATAGACCAACAAATGTCTAGCAACCTAGTCGTTTGAAATCTTTGGTCCCTGTGAAGCAGCTACCCAGATCAAGCAGTCCCTTTGTGAATAAGTCTGGTGATGTGTCTGCCTTTTGCCTTTTCCAAAGGAAGGGGACTGGGTAACATTTTCTGAGGCACAGAAATGTTTAAGTAAGCAGTACCCTAGTTTCAGTGTATGTATTGGACTTCTTGCTCAGTGGTCTTCCTCATATAGCTCTCTTGAAAGCAGGTGGATATTGGCACACACAATCATTGAACTTACAAGCATCTAACTTTGGCAGATTCTATCTTGGATCTTTCTAAATGAAGTGATCAGATATTATCTGGTAATGTCAGTTTGTGAAAGTTGTGATAAGAGAATGTCCTTAGGCCACTCTGAAAAATGCTTAAATGTTCAAGACCTGGACTCAGCCTGCTGATCACCTCTCTGGCGGGGAGGATAGGGGGGTTGTCTTATGTGCTGTTCATGGAGTATAAATGTACGTCTGCTCCTGAGCAGTAATCTCTGAGGTATTCAAGATCTTGTGACATAAGAGACTTGCATAGCATCTTTTTATTTTAGAGCCTAAACTCTTCCTTTTTTAAAAGTTCTGTTCTTACTATCTCTTACCCAGACTAGCAGCTTCTGCCCCTAATTCAGTCTTGGCTGAATATTTATGGCATGTGTGCAAAAATATAGCGTAACTTTGTATTTATGCACAGCAGTTCTGTGCTGCAGCTTCTGCAGAAGACTGAGATTTAGTTTTGCACAGAAACTCGGGGTCTGGAGTTCAGGTGAGCTGTAATCTGCTGTGGTGAGTCTGTGTAATGAGTCTCTTGAAGGCATTTTCCTTCCTACATCACATTTTACTACTTAATGTTCATCACTTACACTGCCATTCTGTCTCTGGCATGCTTCTGTTTACTTATCTTGAAAACACTACTAACTTGTACCCTTTGCAGTAGAATAGAGTTCAGTCATGGAAATGTCAGCTGGAGCATTTGGAGTGAAGGTGTGGCCAGTTTGTGTTAACTGGCATTGGAGCCATTCCTGTTGCCACTCATTGGTACTGTTTCTTGAAGCGATGAAAACACCAGCTGTTTCCTGGGTTCTAGCTGGCTTTTTGCACAACTTCTAAGAGCTGCAGGTTTTAAATGAGTAATACATTCCCATTTGTTGAAAATGCTGCATTCTTTCGGAATTAACAATTGCTAATTAACTCTAGATACATAGTGACCAATAAATGCAATGCCTGTCAAACCTGTACAATATTAATGTACATGTGAATCTTAGTTTAGCAGCTAAGATCAGAAGCAACTGAGTATCAATAGTAGAAAGCAGTTGTTTACTTTTAGTTGGGGTTTTTGCCCTGTGCTTGTCTCTGTACTATGTGGTTGGACTCAATACCCTGGAAATTTTGGCTTCACGTTTTTAGGCTTTCATTCAAAAAGTACACGTAATCGTCAGCCCAGAACAAATGTTTAAACATTAAACTGACTTCAAAAATGAATTCCTCTGTATTGTTTGCAGTAGGCTAGCACTGAAAGTGGTGCTACTTTTTTTTTGTCACCATTAAGCATGGAGAAAATACACTTGGATTCACCACGTCTAACCAGCTGAGGGAGAGAGCAAAGCACTTAGTTTATAGAAGCCCTTAATATGACAAAGTGCTGTTATCTATTCTGGTTCTGTAAGCTTGTAAGATGCCTGTTCTAGTCTTCCCTCACAATCCCTCTGAGACTGCTCTTGCTTACAGGGCTGAAATGGTGATAATGGTGGACAGAATTCAGTTTTTCTTTTTTAGTATATAATTTTGATAGATAATATAGATGTTTATTTTAAACACTTGTTTCAGTTTTTATCGATATTATATATTTTCTCCAGGGTTGCACACACTTAGGAGTGGGTAGGTAGACTATTTATTAAAGACCGTATAATATTATAGCACCATTTAATTGCCTATTGCAACAAATATAACTACTGTAGGACTGCCACCAGCTGAGCAGCACTGCTGCCATCAATCTGGGCTCTGCTTGCCTGTAGCTCCCTTCTTTATCCCTACAGTTGACCCAAACAGCCTTCTTGCAGCTTAGCTCTCTTCCCTCTCTTAATATAGTGGAACAAGGAGGGTGGGAGAAAGTGTGGCAGGATGATTTCCCTGAGAAGAAGAGCCTCAGGTTATACTTATAGTAGACAGTAAGAGAAGTGAATGTACCTATTTGGGAGCTATCTTCCTCAACTCATCGTTTCACTGTTGATCATTGCCTTCCTCAGGCTAATACAGAAAACATCCTGACCATTGAGAGGAGTTCTATGTTCAGAATAGTTTTTTTCTGGATCAGCTGGAGCATAGTCTGGGGTAGGGACAAGAGTCTGTGTTGGACAAACACAATCAGCTCCTTAGTTTGTGACTATACTTCCCACAACCTTATGTTTGTGCATTTTAGAAACTGAATGGGTAAGGAGGTTTAAGGATTAATTTAATTAGCTTGCTACCTACATGCAGAGTGTTTCTCACAGTGTTGCTAATTCTCAGATCCGTACTTGTGGGAGCATGAATTAACCAGGTAGTTTTAAAATTGTGTTCCTTCAGGACTTCCCACCCAGAAAGAAGGCAGGATTGTTAATACTAACACTTGATTTATTAGTAAATTTACTTCCAGAGATTATCTTTTTCCTTTTTGTACATCTCAAGCCATCTTAAACAAAAAACCTTAACTGTATTTCTAAACACTGAAGCGGAGACAAACTGAGCTGGGAACAGTGGAGAGATGACGAGACCTTCCTTTACCGCCCGTGTTTGTCGATGGTTTTTTGTATCCATCTCTTCAGGCGAAATACGTGGGTATAAAATCCATATTTACCATCACGGTCACATCCTTCTCCCCATGAGACAATTCCCACCTGATACCAGCGGTCATCAGGGTTCTAAAGGAAGAGGAAAACAAATTTACTATTCTCCAAAGAGTTGCAGAGACAAGATTTCATGGGGGTTTCATAAACCAGGACTCTAATATTCTGGATTTGTGGATAGTACTGAGGAGTTAGACTGCCAGAGGGCTTAGGCAGACACTCTCACTGCAAACAATTTTAACTGATTTTACAGGGAGCATATCAGTACTCTCTTTAACAGCTGGACCTCAATGTGCACTGCTTTCTGTAGGAACTGGCTGGGATTGGCTTAAATGTGTTTTAGGAATAAGATAAGGATCTGCTGTGTTAGGGTAACTGCAGTACTAGCTCTCTGGGGCTTTCCATTGTCACTGCTGCCATGAAGAACGTAAGGCTTCAGCTGAGAGACCCTGCCACGTGTCCCAGGAGCAGAGCACTGCTTTGGTGCTTGTTGTACGTACCTTCATGACAAAAGGGCCTCCACTATCCCCCTCACAGGCATCCCCTCTCTTGGTATCTTCAGGACTGTAACCTGTAGGCCATGAAAAGAAGGTCAAAAAGCATCTGATCAGAGAGGAAAGGACTAGTCTTTCCTCCTCCACCTTTTGGGCATCTTCCATTTCTATCCTTAGCTGCCACATGGCCATTGAGACTAACCAACAGTTTCCCGCTTACCTCCCCTGCTCTCATCTCAAACACAGGAGCAAGAGAACAGTCTTCTCCAGGCATACCCACCCACACCTACCTGCGCAGAACATGTTGTCAGTGATTTTGATCTTGGTGGATGCCCTGCAGTTCTGCTGAGCAACAATGGGGACGTTCACTTGCTGCAAAACTGAAGGCAGGGAAGCAGGGGTAGAGCTCCAGGTCTCAAAGAGGTTTCCCCAGCCAGAAACCCGCCCTTTGTATCCCTCTAACATTAGGCTGCAAAAAAGAAGGGTGTGAGGTTACAGCCACATAGTGACATGATGCATTCCCTCTCTACTGGCTTGATGATCCTCAATCCTGTGGCAAGGGCACCTTACCAGCTGACTCTGTTGCACCAAGCCTACTTATAGCTGCCCCCTTCCAGTTCTTTACTGTGACCCAAAGGTACCCCCCCATCCCTGACTTTAGACTGTAGCCTTGTTACCGCTGCACAATCTCTTTGGTAGGCAGGCAGATGGGGTGGATGAAATTACTGAAGGCAACGGGTTTCTTCAAGTGCATCAGTGCAATGTCTCGGTCCAGGTTGTCTTTCCAGTTGTACTTGGGGTGGATGATGATTTTATCCAGCAAGACGATCTTCTCTTGGTTCCGTTCATACCTGTACAGTTCCCAGAGGAAGGAGAAAAGTGACTGCCCTGGGGTTGCTCAAGATGACTTGTGCCCTCCACCAAGAAACCCTCTCTCTCCATACAATGGGAAAAGGATCCCAGGGCAGACTGCAAAGAGGCAGCCTGATCTCCCTTTGATTAGGAGTTTGGGGAGCAGCAGCAAGCAGCATTGGAGCACACTTGCAAAGGAAAGCACATGACACTAGTCAGGTCCTCAGGGTTTTTTCTGGGTATTAGGTGGCATCCTTCCCAGACCCTAGCCTCATTTTCTCTCTGTCTGGTAAACTCCAATGATGACCCCCCCATCCAAGCTCTTACTTTGCCCTGTAGTGCTTGCCAATGCGCACCAAGAGGTCATCTGTGGTGAAGTTCTTGTCCCAGGGTGGGTAAAAAAGACAATGAGCAGCAGTCAGGATCCAGCGGTCACTGATGAGACTGGCCCCACACAGCAGCTCTTGTGGATTCTTCCTGAAGAGCATCACCTGCCTAGGAGGGATAGGGATGGAGAGAGCTTCTCTCAGGACCACTAGCTCAGCTGGCTGAATGTTTCTGCGTGTTTCACAGCAGTGGCAGAATTTGTGCCGAGCCAGGACCGTGTCCAGCTATGAGAACCCAGAACTGAGGAGTATTCTAGTCCCTGCTGTGGCTACCAGTAGAGGTACCTGCCTCCTGGGCTGGAACCAGTGGGGGAAACAGTTTGCAGACTACTGTGGACTTCACGCCATAGAGTAGAGAGTCTCACCCCCAACTGTAGCAGTACTACCGAGTCATCCGCTAGGCAGGCTACAAGCAGAGGTGATGCTGGCTCCATGCCAGCTGACTCCTGGCTTGAGCTGAAGACAAAGAGAGTGCAGAAAGAGTCACAGGAAGCAACATGAAGAAATAGCACTTACCAGGGAGCACTGCCAACTTCTGCATCCTCCCCCTTCACAACCCGGCCTTCTATGTAGGACTCCAGCAGCTCCTTCTCCGTTTTATCAGCAATGTTCTTCTTCTCAAACAGAGGGCGGATGCCACAATCTGGGAAGACAGGCAGCCTGGCTCTTATTCTGTCCAATTCACAATAGAGGGGGCCAGTATACTAGGCTGGGAAAGCCTGAAACTACAGCATTTAATAGCTTCGTGCTCAGTTATGGCTTATACCCCACTCTCTCCTGTGCTTCTTGCTGGGAGAGACTGGGACTGAACTATCTGGGAGCTCTCCACAGCCAGCATGTTTGTACCATCTATAGCACTCTGCTGTGAACAAAGCCTATGTGCAGGGAGCTCCTCTCCAGCAGCTCCTGCAGGGGAAAGCTAAGGCTTGCTGCAGTAATTGAAGGTTCAACTTTGGGTAAGGTGTTAGACAAAGCCTAACATAGTTTTAGCCCCCATTCCTCCTTTCAGCACAGCATTCAACAGACTTGGTGTTCTGAAGACGACTGCAAGGTGGGAAGTAGCTGCCCCTTTCCAGTGTTCTT